TATATATATATATATATATTTTTTTTTTATGTGAAATAATTACTATTACTAATATTTTCCAGTGACAGAAGTCAATCAATTTGCTCAAGTCCTATTGGTAGGCATTTTAAGTGGCTCAGACACCAAACTCACTAGGCCCTGGAAAGCCAATCAATAAACTATTTAAATTTTGATTGAAAACTGGCTCTTCATATTAAAAAGCCTAAGATTTCGAAGGAAGTTTTCTTGTATTGAAATAATTACTATTACTAATATTTTCCAGTGACAGAAGTCAATCAATTTGCTCAAGTCCTATTGGTAGGCATTTTAAGTGGCTCAGACACCAAACTCACTAGGCCCTGGAAAGCCAATCAATAAACTATTTAAATTTTGATTGAAAACTGGCTCTTCATATTAAAAAGCCTAAGATTTCGAAGGAAGTTTTCTTGTATATCTTAATATCAAGTTTTAGTTATAAGTAAAACACAAAACCAAAATCTTGCAGATTAATGGAGTTACTATAAATGAAATAACTGACTTTGGCATCCCTTTCTTTTCATCAGCAATATTATTTTTGTCAATAAAATTTCAGCATTTGGGGTTAAATGGATTGTTGGCCACAATTCCATGTTTAACATCCTGGGATTGATTTTCCCAACCAGTTCTACTGAAGGAAATTAGGAATTTTCTCCAGAATGGTGCTTCTCCTTCCCTGGGAAGGAGTCTGGTGGGGTCTGCCAGCAGCCTTTCTGGAGAAGCGGGATCTAACCTTGCAGCACCTGGTCCCCAGGTGAGAGTTTGGTGTGCTGCACAGGAAGACCAGCTCTGCTTTTCCCCACGCAGAAGTGAGAGCAGCCCATGGACTGGAAGTAAAAGTAATCCATTAACCTCAGCAGGCAAACTGTTCTGGATAGGAAAGAAAAGGCAGGGCTGTTAAGCAAGTGAGAGAGCAGAAAACAAAAGTGAAGGGTTGTGGGGACCCAGCAGGAGGAGGAAGCTGAAGGCAAATGCATTTGTCACCTACCCAGCTAAATCTGCTGAGGGACAATCCTCTTCCCTGTGTGAGGAAGAGAAAGAAACAATGACATCACGATCAATGAGGAGAAAAGTCTTACTGAACAAGAAACACAACCAAACAACCTAGCACAGGGGCGAGGAAGAGGTTCATGATGCAGCCCAGACTCAGTGCTTGGGAAGATCCACGACACCTGCCAGCCCCATTCAACTGGGAGCCACGTGGCAAAAAAGAGTTTGGGAAGGATTCAGATGGCCCTGAGTCATTTCTTTGTTTCGCTTTTGGGATTTCTGGGAACGCCTATGAATAAAGTGATAATTAATCGAAACATTCCATTGGTCTTACCTTTCCTTGGGATGGAGGAGGTGTGCGAGGTGTCACCTGGAAAACAGAAGAGAAGGGTGGGCTTGGGGAACTGTCTTCCCTCTGAGCGGCCCGTTCTTCCCAGAGGCCCCGCTGGTTCGGGTTTGTGGAGGATGCCTTATTGGCATTAGGATCAGAAAGCAACCACTTCCTACCCAGCTTCCCCACTTCTGTCCTAGTTGAGTGAGGGATACAGAAGCTGAGAATCTGCCCACACTGGAGGCTGGGCAGATCTCCTAGAGCTCACAGGATGCACCCAAGGCTCTTCAGCTGGGAGCTGGTGTGTGGCCCCGTGACACGCACCTTGAGCTCCACTCCCTATCTTCCCTTTGTCATTTAGAGCGTCAAAGGGAGTGCTGTTGTGTCTGTCGGCCCCGAACTGGCCTATGAGAATCTTACCTTAACATATCTGCTGCATTGGGGTTTTTACCCTTGTGTTCTTGTTGACAAACTATTTTCCAGGGCAATATTAGATTTATGAAAAAATTGTGCACAAATTACAATCCCCTATTATTAATACCTGTGGATTAGTGAAATTCACAACTGATGAACAAATATTGATACATTAGTATGAGTAGTAACGAATTAGTTTCCTTTAGGTTTCACTTTATGTTGTGGATCACAGCAGCTGGCAGCAGACCCTTGCTTTGCAATTTGTTTCCCTGTGCACAAGCACTTACAATGTTCTTGAAGAAGTGGACTACAGGGTTTTCCTCTTGGGACCGGCCATGCTGTGACTTCTGGGGCAGGGAGCCATAGTGGGTCGTCCTTGCTGCATGGTGTGAGTCCTGAAAGAGAGAGGTGCAGATGATCAGGACAACCCGAAGCCAGGTCTGCCTCCCCAGGGAAGGTGGAGTTCACTCCGTTGGGGATTAGAATCTTTTTTTGTTGGTTTGTTTCTAAGGACCTTAGCTAGGAAGCTGCTAACAATTCACCAGATACACAGAGGCACTTGGTGTGGCACTTGGGAGGATATTTGGTTTCCTAACTACATCTTATTAGGTGGATATTTCTATCTCTGATGCAGCAACTGGTTCTCTGGAGCCATCAAGGGTGAGGGAGAGCGATCAAAGGGCGACTCCACCTAAAGTAGAGGCAGGGTAGGCAAAGCACGGAGAGGAAACTGCTAGTTACCTTCAGGTTTCTGTTGGGTAAAAGAAAATGCCCAGAAATTACACATAAAACAACCTGGAACAGCAAGAGACAAATCTACTCATAAGCTTTGAAATGGCTGGTGACACAAAGTAGACACTGCTTCTCAAAAAGGCCACTTCGGCTGCATGGTATTGGCCAACCAGGTTTGGGGCAATCACGTCTGCATTTTCAGTAAGAAGGAAGGGAAGAGGTATGAGTGCGGGGGCTGATTCACCATCAAAAACCCCCGAGGTTTCTAGGTGAGCAAACACTCTACAGAAGATACCCAGAGACAAGCACAGAGTCAGAGCCATTCGTCCACAGGACCGAACAACCCCGAGTGGAGGCATGGGCTGCTGCTGCCCTCGCAGGCTTCACACCTCACGTCTTCAGCTCTTCCCTCAGCTTCAATCGCCCAGCACAATCGACGCGATGCAGTGAGGGCGAGCTGAGGACAGCGGTTATGTCCAGCTCAGTGTCCATGGGAAAGAAGCCCATTTAGAGGAGACTTTAAATAAAAAAGACAGTTCTCAGAAGGGCAAAGGAGAGGGACCTCAGGGAGACAGCATGGAACGGATGCTGCTGCTTTTCCTTTGTTCTTTCTACACTATTCCCAGCACCCACTCGGGCCTAAGTGTGGTGCAGAGGAGACTCAGCAGAAGGATCAGCTCAGAGGAGCTTCAGCCAGGCAATCCAGTGTTCCCCGACTGCAGAAGGTTGTGCTCAGCCCATCAGTTAGACAGGGAATCATTTAAAGCATTCCTTCCGCTTTCTCTGTGTGCAGGTTTGGGAGGACCCTTCCTCTTCAGAAGACAGTTTTGCCACCAAAAAGTCAAAAGGAGCTTCTGTAAAGTTTATGACAATGCATTTAGTGGGTTTAATTCAAGGTAATAATTGCACGTCAGAGAAAAGGGACACTATTCTCCCGGTGATCAGCACTCCCTGGCACTTACTTGGGTTGGGTATACGACTGTTCTCTGATGCAGGTCTTCATACATCAAAGCATCAGGTTTGATACCTCGCAGTCACCTTGACCCTTTCTTTAGTCTGCTTCCCCTGTTCACTCAGATAACAGATCTTTAAAATCCTTCTTGCATTCACACTACCCTTCCTCACCATGAGATCCCTTGCTGCTCATCCTTCAAGGGGAAGCCCAGAGTCCTCCATTCCTGCCTGACTCTTCCTCTGGCCATGGCCTCCTAGCTGATGCCTCTTCCTTACCCGCTCCCCTCCTGGCCATGTCACACTGTGTGCGGGGTCAACTTTCTGAAACACACGTCAGAGCTCCTGGCCTCCCCTTCACATTCATTCAGTGGCCCACTGTGCCCACAGAATGAGACCCATCCTCAAGCATTTCCAAAAGGCTCGGTAGCTGTGAGGGACCTGACCTCCTGCCACCCCTATACACACCTACCCCATCCCTGCCCTTTTTGCCAAGAGCTGTTCTCTTCTCTGGACCATCCCCAGCACCTGCTCCATGCTGTGGCCAAGCCCATCTTCTGTGTAGACTGTCACATATGCTCTTGCCAAAGGGTGCTTCCATCTCCTCTCTCAAGCCCAGAGCCCATGTGTGCTGTGCAGGATTGCTCTAGCACCTGGGTGGACTCAGCCTAGAGACCACCTGTTTCCAGTTCATCTAGCTGTTGGACATCGCCATGTGCCCACATGACTTTGTCTCTCCCCACTAGGCTGTGAGTACCCAGGAACAGAGGATACCTCTTGTCATCTGTGATGCCTTGAAGGGGCCTTGGCCAGGGAAAGGTATGGTCCTTGCTGTACAAATATGGAAGATGCAAAACAGACAAAGACCCTGCTCAGAGTTTTGGAATAAATTAGATGAAAAAAAGATTCCAGTTTTATTTCTTAATAATGGTAACCTTGTATTTTACTGCTTAGATGTATTTTTCCTCTTTTGTGTACCTTGTTTGTTAACCATCTGTTTACCTATTAGACTGTAAGCCTTTCTGGGGCAGAAATATATGATTTGGAAGCTGCAGCTTGCTCTCCTCTTGGGCCTAATCCTCTGTGCATCTGTCCTTGTTTCCTCATTGTGACATTAACTCTCACTTATATAGCAACCAAGGAATTGTGATGACTTGCTTGGTTTCCTCACAGGCAGACACCATAGGCTTTGGAACTTGAGGTGTAACAGTAGCAGGAAGGGGACATTGCCACTCTAATTCTTCCTATTTCAACTTAGTCCCCTGGTTGCCATGAGCACCTGGATCACTGGTCCTCTTCTCAGCCTGAGCCTTGCTGGAGGTATCAGCCACCACCTGTGTTCACTCACCCCTTACCAGCCATACACAGTCTTCTACAGGAAGCCAGGTATAAAATGAGGAATTAGCAACCAAAGCAGCTGAGGCCAGATGCTGTTTCAATTACTTGTAGACAAAGAACTTTTAAGTGTCTATTATGTCTACAGACTACATCCTAGTGGCCTGAAATAATTAAAATAGCCCAACATTCAGTGCAGTTGGTTCCTCTCCTGGTGTCCATATACTATTTTCTACCTACTGTGTGTTTGATTTTGGATTTAGGATTTTGCTGTGTGTTGGATTTTGAAGCACAGAAACACTATCTGCACTGAATTAGTTCATCTGTCATCCACATACCACTATAGCATGTGTATACTAGAAAAAAACTCCTTCAGGCTACACAGAGAATTCTAGGGACTGCATGCTCCCCCTAATTTCATACTGTTAATATTGCTTTTTGTTGTGAGAAATTAAAAAATATCATGCAGACAATGTTTCACATGTGCATCCCTGTTTTGAGTGGCAAAAGAAAAGTTACATTTTTTGGTGTGTGTGTGTGTGTGTGTGTGTGTGTGTGTGTGTTTTGTGGTACTAGAGATCAAATTAAGAGGTGTTTTACAAATGAACCACATTTTAGCTCTTTTAAAAAATTTCAAGTTTTGAGACAAGGTCCTGCTAAATTGCCCAGGCTGGCAATGAACTAGTGATCCTCTTTGATGAGTCAGCCTCTCTACTAGCTGGGATTATAGGCATGCAATGCTTTGTCAGTTACTTTTATAATGAATACATAGGTTACCAAGTTTTTGAAGGGAGAATAACTTAAATTTCTTGAGCAGTTCACAAAGTTGGTAGGTTGCATCTTAGCTCTCAGAACTAGAAAATCTAAAGTCAGTACTGTTCACAAAAAGGGAAATTGGTAAATCTATAGACCTCAGCACAGAGCTAAGTATACACTAAGCATCTACTATTTGATTTTGATAAAGGTTTGGTGAACCACATTCAGATCACTTTTAGTGCAGAGTCTAACACAGGGAGTAAGTCTGGGTGTGGTAAAAATCATTGAAATTTGGCAGTGTATACATTCAAGAGTAACTACAGTAGGACTTTGATTTGCACTTTTTTTGCTGTAAGTTGTCAGTCACACAGATCATTTGAGGTCGTTATGTTATAACCTTTTGTTATAGTTGCCTTTTACTGAAACAACATTTAGTCAATCATATTTCTATATACTAGCAATGAGCAGTTAAACACAATACAAAAATTTTAAAATGTTACCATATATAATAGTACACAAGGAACAACATGATAGACGTGACTATAACAAAACATGTATAGATCTTTAGAAGGAAGTCAAAGAAGACATAATTGGAGCAATATACTATGTTCATGGATTAGGAAATTCAATAGAGTGAAAATGTTAATTCTCTCCAGACTGATCTACAGGTTTAGTGCAATTGCCAGGAGTATTCTGATTAGAAATACACAAGCTGATTTTAAAACTGTCTGGAAATGCAAAGGAATCAAAACAGCCAAGCAACTGTAAAATAAATAAAGAAAAAGAGGAATCACATTACTTTGAGAGTTACCATAGAGCTACAGTAATCAATGCAAGGTGACATTGGAGAAGGGATAAACACATAGATCAGTGGCACAGAATGGAGTCTAGAGGTGGATACCCTCACATACATAATCGGTTGATTTTGACAAAGGTGCAAAGACCACCAATGAAGAAAGGACAGCCTTTTCAACAAATGATACTGGGACTACTGCATATCCATGTGCCCAAAAAGGAAAGAAAAAGAACCTCAACATAAGTTTATATCTTATATAAAATTTAAAATGGTTTATAAATTTCTACTTACAAGGTAAAATTTTTAAGTTTTAAAAGAAAACAAGAACTCCTCATGACCTGGGAGTAATAGGTGAGGAATTCATATCCCTGATACCAAAAGCCTGATCTTTAAAAGAATAAAATGGATAAAGTGAGTTTCATCAAAGGTTATAACTTTTGTTTTGTAAGAAATACAGCTAAGAAAATGAAAAGCAAAAGACTGGGTGAAAATATTTGTAAATACACATAAGACAAAGACAGAATTAAATGTATACAAGTATTATCAAAACTCAACAACAACAACAACAACAACAACAACAACAAAAACAAATAACTTATAGAGAGTGAGAAAAATACCTGAATAAACACTAAGATGATGTGTGGAATGCAAATCAGCACAGTTCAAATCTATTAACCATTTGAAAATGCAACTGAAACCCATGAGATAATTTTACTACACTCCTGCTAGAATGACTAATATAAGATGCTGGTCAGGCACAGTGTTGTTGAGAACATGGAGCAAATAGAACTCTTATGCAGGGCTGTGAGATGGCCAAATGACACA